AAGGGAACGCTGCCTTTAAGCGGAACAAGTATGGCGCGTGCCTAAATGAGCGTTTGCGAATCTTCACCGTTGCAATCTCTGCTCCTTATGCGCTCTGCAGCTAATAAAGCCATGTAGCTTTTAAAACTATCGCCTTCTGGAGTAGAGTAGTCATTTTGCTTGGCATCGTTCACAGGGACAGACTGACAGCCAATTGCCACTAGGCGCCAATTTCGTCATTGTGTTGAGAAAGCAGCTGGCAACAGTGCTATCTCATGTTAAAGAAACTAAATTTTCGCGAATTTAAGATGAGTCCAAGTTCCGCAGGAATGCCGATCATGACGTTGCCATTTGAGCCCGTCGTACGACAGCCGCATCGCCTGACGGTCAACGATGACGAATGGTGAGAATACTGCTCCTTTTAAGCTAGTGTAGTCGCAATTAGTGGCCTCGCTCTATGCATTTTCATTAGACAGCAACGCCTTCTCAAATTCTGCATTTTCTCTCTTAGTAATCGTAGTGTTGTGATTGTCTGTGTAGGTCTGTTGTCGACACGGACCCAAGGGAATTTCGAGGCACGGTGATTCGCGGAGATGGAAAACCAGCTGTGCCTTCACCGACCGAAAAGTCGGGCTTCTTCAAAGGAAGCTCGTTGACGTCTTCGTCCAGTAGTGGAAGCAGTTACCCACGGAAACCTTGGCGGAAGGAGACAGAGGTATAGCCGAGTGTTGGTGTCCCGGGTTGTGTGGGCTTAGTCTCAAGGATAGCTTGTTTGTGTGTGCGCGTGTTCTTTTGTTGGTTACTTGTTCTGTGCATCGCTGCGTTTAGAGTTGTTCGTGTGACGGAGCTGTGCCAGCTCTGTGCCAGCGCCGTGCCAAAACTCATGCGCATTGCGCTGGCATAGCGCGGCACTGCCAACTCTGAACGCAGCCATAGTGATCTTGTTTGCTGTGCTTTCGCTTCGTAATCTGCAGTGTCGTTGGTCTCAATTCTCTTTTCTTATGGATCTAGTAACCCAGGTCGGAGAGGACGACATAAGTGTCGAACACTTCTAA